GTTTGAGAGAGGCGGGGCATAGAGGACCTACAATAATGTACAGTATTTGAAAAATAATGTTTTTTTTGAACATTAAAGCATGTCAACATATTCTGTTACACCAAATACACAAAATAATGATCTTTAAAATAGCATCATATGACCCCTTTAACATATATAACATACACATTAATTAATAAATATTTATATTTTTTCTATATATTTCAATATTTATATGTAATATACAGTTTTGTATACGTTTTGACATTTGTATATTTAATGGAAATTGAAATTTTTTTTTTTTATTAATTCATGACTATACACACACACACACACACATAAATATTATTTTTAAATAATTCATTCATTTTAAATGCAAATTTAGGCATCATGACAATGTACACTATGAAAAATTTATATTTATTTCGAGATTTCCCAAATATTATATTTAACATTGTTATTAAATTATCAGTGTTTTTAAGATTAAATATTAAGTGAGTCTTAAATGACAACAAATGTAATCTAAAAGTAAAAATAATGAAGAAATAATAATGCGCAATTATCAAATATAGGTTGATATAAATAACTAATATGGTACAGGTGTGTATCATGCATCCCTAATCACCTAGTGGTATCATGATGTCCAATTTATGCTCACTTTGAATTGTGAAGTGCTTAAAGTCTGGTAGTCTTGTAGTGGAGTTGGACACTCAGGCCTGCAGATGCATCAGAAGTCTCATGGAAAACACAAATCTATCAATGTCTGGGCTATCAAACAAGATTAATGAGAGTACATTTTTATAGCATCTCCACTGTTCCAGCTAAAACCAAAGAACCCAAATAACCCACTAAAGGTAGTAACAGATGTAAATATGTATATATATATTTAAAAAAATTTGATCCGTCACAGTTTATCTGGCTCACAGGCAAAATCCCTCACCCTTAAACAATAGGCTGTGAGTCACCAAAGAAGCACATTGTTTAATTCATGATGATACTCAGTGACTAATCTGTTATGTGGAGTGGCATGAAGGCATGACGGGGTTGAGTATAAAGATTGCCATCTTTACATTGAGCAGCAATCTTATCCGATATCAACTTCCTTTGAGCTGCTTTGAAAGATGGGACCTGTGGAGTGAGATAGGGCTATTTATCCTTCTGCCATTTTCAAGAGGATTTGCTTCTAATCAACACACTCATCTCATCTCCACAATCCTCTTATCAGCACCCAGGACCTCCACACACTGTAGTGATGGTGCCCATAGATGTGTAGGCTTGAAAAGAGAAGAGGAGCCAAATAATAAAGCTTAAAAAAAAATCACCACCTGCAGGAATTCTGGGTAATCCATGCATGAACTGTGATAGGAATACAACCAGAGATGACAAAACGGAGAAAACAAAACTAACTTTATGTAAACAGGATCTGAATGTGTGGACTGGTGTGTGTGTATAAATAGAACTGTATGTGGGAAAAGAGTGAGTACTTTTACATAGACATTCAAAGTTTCATTTCAGATTTTATATGTACTAAGTCTGAATGAAATTATGCCATGTAACAGATCTACATAATGCCATTGTAGCTTGGCTTCGTCCAGCACGCATGTTAACCAGACTACATCTGGCCTGAGCATGCAACGAAAAATATCAAATACTAAGTGTATTTCATCCTTCAATGTATATTAGGGTTTTGTGTTACATATAATGTTGTTAAATTCATGTTTATTGCATTATTTTAGTGTCATGTGTGTTACCATGATGTATTTAGCATTTGTGTGAATGACACCGTGCACCTTCTATATACTAGTATTTTATTTCACTTGTGTTTTTATGGTGGTAAGTGCATCAGTAGGTTGGTATATAATTAACATTATATATTTTTTGCTGTAAATGTATGTTCAATCCATAAAACCTAAAATCCTGCTACCTAATTTTTTACAGTAAAATTCTGGAAACCACAGTTGCCGACTATGAAAAACCCTGCTGTAGCACAAAAATGATTATGCATGTAAACATACTGACTGTTACAATTACAAAAGATTGAACTTTAAAAACTTATAACAGCTCACCTGCGTGATATGCAACAGAACCTCGACTCCATCCTGGATGCCTGTTCTTTGGGTAATCCTGAAAAAAAAGGAAGAATGAGTAAACATAAGATACATATTCTAACAATTAGACAAGTAAAACAGTCTGGCTTTACAGATACCAATGGAAGTGATGGATTTACTCTAAACCAGGGCTCTGAACCGGTTCAAGGAATGAAAATGAAGACCGGAAACAAACGAAATTTTGACAGGAACAGAACTAGAAACAGAAACGAAATCAAATGTTATAGTTCCGAACAGAATCGAAAATTTGAAATGGCCATTAACCGATTAATAACGCTATTTTATCGTTCCATTTAATATTTGAAATTTGTTGTCAACCAATCAGGAATTCAGATATGCAAATGTGACGCTGACGCATCCAATGCGTGAAATGCCCGCGCTCAGCTGTAAATTCATCATAGGTAAGTTGCAATGGCAATGCATTAGAGTTTATCCGAGAATAGTGTAAGATGAATTCAACAGATCACGTGCAACTGCAGCACTTGTGAACGGAGAAAACAGAATAAAACTATAGGCTTACATAAAAAGGAATAGCCTATATTGGCCTACACGAAATGCATTTCACTTAAATCATTGACAGATTAACGAAACAAAAGAAAAAAAATATGTGCTGGGTTTCGGTTTATTGTGACGCGATCCAAAGTTCACGGAAAGGAAAACGAGTTTTCTTTATTTTGCAAAAGCTTTACAGTTTTATTTATATTGCAAATCTTGACAGTTTTGAATGATGTGTTCACGCGCACAAAGACACAACATATTTTGTGACATTGCAGCCTGTTCATTATCAAAATAAAATACAGTTAAAGAAATATAAAAAGTTGCACTGCTCTGTTGTACAATCTGTTGCGTTCAGCGTGACCAGCACCTCACTGTGCTGATATAGCCGATGGGAAGGATGATATCGATGCCAGTGAAGTACAAAGCCTTTTACATAATAAATAATATTTTAGCATCCAGATACGTCGCGAATATGGAAATATTTGTTTTTGGATTGACAAATTAATTTGTTTTTGGATTGACATTTTTATAGCCTAAACGCATAGCCTTAACTTTAGAGGATTTGTTGTGGAGAGAAAAATGCAGCCTTGATGAGCATAAGAGACTTCTTTAAAAAACATTACAAGTCTTACTGATCCCAAACTTTTGAGCGGTAATGTGTGTATATATATATATATATATATATATATATATATGGTGTTTATAATGTTTGTAAACATTTAGCTTTACCGGCATTTTAGCACATTATTTCTGAATGTAGCCTAATAATAAAATGCAACGTAAGCCTACGCAACGTTTTTTTTCCCCTCTCAAAACGCAATTTTATACAAATAGCATTTTTTTAACAATGCAGCAAACATTTTGAAATACCTTAAAAAATACTTTGTCTTAAAAGCGTTAACAGATTTTTTTAAATTTTGTTTAGTAGCCTATAATTTGGCCAAAATCTAGAAAAGATGATGCAGTATTGGATGTGACTAAGCACAGCGGGTTAAGATACCAGATCTCTTCCTGTTTTTTTTCCCCTTTTTTGAGTAGAAAACGCTGTACTTTATTATTATTATTATTATTAGGCTATTGTTATTATTGTTATTATTATTAATATAGGCAAAGAAAAAGTTAAAAAAAATAACATTATTAACTGGTATTTTTTCTAGGCAAACCGGTTTCGGAACGATAATAATTAGGGATGCACCGATACCACTTTTTCCAGTACTCGCCCGATACCGATACTTTTATTTTTGGTACTTGCCGATACCGATGCCGATACCGATATTTTTATTGCATTTGTACATTTTTTAAATATTGGGTATAGAAACCAAAAGGGTATGTATAATGTTAGTTGGTTAACTTCATTTATCAAATAGATACAGTCAAACCAAAATCTATT